GCATGGCAGGCCGTGAGGTGGCCCCGCTGGCTCCACCCCGCCGCTGGCCCCAGGCGCCGCTCGGCTCGGCCCCGTGCCACTCACCGACATTGCAGAGGCGCCCCGCGTAGCCGGGTGGGCAGGCACAGATGGTGGTCCCGGTGGCCACCATCAGGTGGCAGGTGCCCCCATTCAGGCACGGGCTGCTCATGCAAGCTGGGGCAGCACCAGAGGCTAGGCCCAGGCCCTGGGGCCCCATGGAGGGGACAGGGTCCGGTCCTTCCCTGGGGGCCCTGGTGCAGGGGGTGGGGGACCCTGGGGGGGCAGGGCCGGGGCAGCACCCCTGTCTGGCCATGCGCACCTGTGTGGCGGGCAAGCTGGGGTCCCGTGGTGGGAGCAGAGCCCCTGGTGGGGTGGGGGACCCTCGGGTGGGGTTGGGGCAGGCACCCCTGTCTGGCCATGCGCACCTGTGTGGCGGGCAAGCTGGGGCCCCGTGGTGGGAGCAGGGCCCCTGGTGGGGTGGGGGACCCTCGGGTGGGGTTGGGGCAGGCACCCCTGTCTGGCCATGCGCACCTGTGTGGCGGGCGAGCTGGGGTCCCGTGGTGGGAGCAGGGCCCCTGGTGGGGTGGGGGACCCTCGGGTGGGGTTGGGGCAGGCACCCCTGTCTGGCCATGCGCACCTGTGTGGCGGGCGAGCTGGGGCCCCGTGGTGGGAGCAGGGCCCCTGGTGGGGTGGGGGACCCTCAGGTGGGGTTGGGGCAGGCACCCCTGTCTGGCCATGCGCACCTGTGTGGTGGGCGCTTTGGCACTGGGCCTGACCGCCCACGCAGTCACACTGTTCCACGTGGCCACGGTGCACGCGTGCCCAGCGCTCGCCCAGATCCAGGTACTCGTGACGGGTCTCGTCGAAGCATTTCTCTGGGGGCGGCACGGTGCAGTCCGCTCAGCTCATCCGCCCCCAGCCTAGCCCTGGCGGCCCCCAGCCCGGCTCACCTGTGCGGCAGTCCTTGCCGGTGAAGGCCACGGGGCAGGTGCAGTGGAACGACGCGGGGTCCTGGGAGTGGGAGCAGGAGCCCCCGTTGTGGCAGGGGCTGGAGGCACAGGGATCCACGGCAGCTGCGGGCAGCAGCAGGGACCTGAGGGGCCACCCAGGAGGCGGGCCCCCCGCACTGAGGCAGCGCACCCCCAGATGTGCACTCGGCTCCCTAAAAGCCTGACACCCTCAGCGCTGGACAGGTCCGTTCCCTCCGAGCACCTGCCCACTCCCTCTCTTGGCCCCACCCCCGACACTGGGCTTGCCTCTGTGGCCACAGGGCTTGGCGTCACCACCAGGGGGCGCCTTGGCACCAGCAATCGCCACACAGCCACACAGGCCCAAGAAGGTGGGATTCTGGGAACCCCTCTCCCCAATGTTGTGTCCTGAGCTGATGGCCCCACCCCTACTTGGCACTTTGACCCTGATGCCCCCTCCCCAAACTAACACTCCTAGCTGAAGCTCAGGCTGCACCCACACACACACACACAGAGTTGCAATACACACAAACACACACACACACACACACACACACACGGCTGCACACGGCTGCACACACACAGCCCGCCAGCCTTGGCACCCACCTGAACCCTCTGGGGACGGGGTCTCCACGCAGTAGCCCCAGGCCCGGTCCCGGTCGTAGTTGTGAGTCGTGGCGCACCTTGGGGGCAACGCCAGCGCTGACCCCAGTTCTCCACCCCCCATCACGCCCGCCCTGGCCCCCGCCCGCTGGGGACCTACCACTTCCGGTGGGCACTGCCCGCCGCGGTGCAGGAGTGCAGCATGCGGCCGCCGTAGCGGAAGGGGAACCTGCAAGGCTGCCCGGCCTCCGTGAGCACTGCGGGGGGGGTGGGGGCAGGGCGTGGGGCTCGCACGGCTCCACGCGGCCCACCCCCCTCTTCTCCAGCCTCCCAGGGCCCCGACCCACCTGGGCCCCCAGGGCCACTGCTCGGCGGAACTGCACCCGGCAGGGGCGGGAGCCCCCCACCTCGGGGTCCCTCTGTCTCCTGAGCACTGGCAGCTGGGGTCTCGGGGGCCACGGAGGTCGCCGGGGTCACGGGGGTCCCAGGGGTCGCTGTGGTCTTGGGTTCTGGGGGCTCTGTGTAGTTCTAGGAGGAGCCGGAACTGCTGTGAGGCATGGGTGTGGGGCGCCTGAACCCCGAGTCCTCCCATGGGGTCCCAAGGCCTCTGGGTGGCCTGTCCCCTCCCCCATATGGGGGCTGGTTGGCGTCATGTGTCCGCCTATGCAACCCATCGCCCAGGGCTGAACGCCAGGCTCCGTCCCTCAGGGGCCCCCGCTCCCCTCCCTCAGGTATTAGGGCCCAACAGAGGTCCAGCGAGAGGGGTGGCCCCCATACCCACAGGATGGACAGCTCCCTGCGGGCCCGGCCACGTCAGCCTCCCCAGGAACCAGCTGCCCCCACCCCTGGGCACTACGGCCCAGCCCAGGCCTCCCTCTGGCCTCGTCCCAGGGACCCTGAGTGGGCACAGGAAGCCCTGGGCCACGCGGCGGTGGGGGTCGCTCACCCTGCCGGCCTCAGGCTGCGCCCCCCCAGGCGGCAGCAGCAGCAGGAACAGGAGGGGGCACAGCCTGGGTCGGGGGTAGGGGCAGGGGACCCAGGCCCGGCGCCCCATGGCTTCCGTGAGCTGGCGTGTGGGGTAGCGGGGGCGGGAGCAGAGCCGCAGGGGCGGCTGGGGGTCAAGGCCGCCTGGCAATGATTAACCCCACTGCCTCCCGCGCGGAGCCGTCCCCGGGCGCACCTGCTGCTCTCGGGCAGCGCCCACTGTCCTGGCTCTGACACTGCAGCTGGGACGGCCCGCGCTACCGCCCCCAGCCCAGGGCTGCCCCGCCCTCAGGCACACATGGGGCCCAGCCTGAGGGAGCCTCCCTGGACGGGGCGGGGGACCCTCCGGGAACCAGGGGCAGCTCCCCTGGGCCAGCTTCACAGTGACTCAGCGACTCCCCCGCTTGGCTACTGGGGATTGGCCTGGCGGTGTGGCAGCCTTGCTGCGTGCCCAAAGCTCCATGTGGGTCCTAGGTCACTGTGGGTGCTGGGTGCACAGTGAGTACTGGGTGCTAGGTAGGAATTGACATAGTGGGTACTGAGTGCACAGTAGGTGTTGGGTGCACAGTGGGTACTAGTGCACAGTAGGTATTGGGGGCATGGTGGGTACTAGTACATAGTAGGTGTTGGGTGCACCGTGATACACAGATGGTACTGATGCATGGTGGAGGCTGGTAGCAGGGCAGTCGATGTTGGGTACACAGATGTTGGGCATTGGGCACGGTGGGTGCTGGGTGCACAGTGGGTAATGGAGCACAGTGGACGCTGAGTACACAGTGGATGCTGGGTGCACGGTGGGTACTGGTGCACAGTGGGTGCTGGGTACATGGTGGGTACTGGTGCACAGTGGGTACTGGTGCACAGTGGATGTTGGGAGCACGGTGGGTGCTGGTACACAGTGGATGCTGGGTGCACAGTGGGTACTAGGTGCACAGTGGGTACTGGTGCACAGTGGATGCTGGGTGCACGGTGGGTGCTGGTGCACAGTGGGTGCTGGATACACGGTGGGTACTGGTGCACAGTGGGTGCTGGGTGCACGGTGGGTACTGGTGCACAGTGGGTGCTGGGTGCACGGTGGGTACTGGTGCACAGTGGGTACTAGGTGCACAGTGGATGCTGGGTGCACGGTGGGTACTGGTGCACAGTGGGTGCTGGGTGCACGGTGGGTACTGGTGCACAGTGGGTACTGGGTGCACAGTGGATGCTGGGTGCACGGTGGGTACTGGTGCACAGTGGGTGCTGGGTGCACGGTGGGTACTGGTGCACAGTGGGTACTAGGTGCACAGTGGATGCTGGGTGCACGGTGGGTACTGGTGCACAGTGGGTGCTGGGTGCACGGTGGGTACTGGTGCACAGTGGGTGCTGGGTGCACGGTGGGTACTGGTGCACAGTGGGTACTAGGTGCACAGTGGATGCTGGGTGCCCTTCTTCCACTCCTGTGCCTCCCTGGCCCTATCCAGGTCGCCCACTGGTGACCACCGGGGCCACCCAAGGGCTCACCACGCTCTTGGCCTGCCGCCTCGCGGGCGTGCGGTGACCTGGGCGAGGGCTGGGCTCTGACGCAACCCGCCCCCGCGCGGCCCCGCCCACCGCCTGGGCCACCCCTTCTGGCGACTCCACGTGCCTGGCGCTCGTTAGAGATTTATTTATTGACTTGAGAGGCGGAGTGACACAGAGGCGGGTCTTCCATCCGCTGGCCACCCCCAGGTGGCTGCCACGGCCGGGGCTGGGCAGGCCGGAGCCAGGAGCCGGGAGCTCCACGCCGGGCAGGGCGGTGGGCAGCTGTGCCACGCCGTGGCTGCGCCTGCTGTGCCGGACAGGGCGGGGGGACGGCAGGCAGTGGAGCCCCGCCCGCCCGCTGACGCCACGCTGGAGAGGGCCGAGGCGCCCTGCCTCTGTGGTGCGGTGTGGACAGGCCCGGGCACCGGAGGCCACGCTCAGCACCTGCAGGGCCTGGCCGGGGCGCCTGCGGCCGCCTCACCCCCCCCAGCCCTCTCCTCCACCTCCTGCCGCCGCGGCCCTGGCGGCTGGCCCCTGTCCCCACCAGGCTGCCCAGGAGGCCCAGGGCCAGGCCAGTCCCGTCCTCTCCCAGGCGCTCACGGTCCCACTTCCCAGGACGCACGCGGCTGCCCCTCGAGGTTGGGGCCCCGCACACGTGTCCAGTGGGGGACTCCAGGACAGGGTCTGGGCAGCTTCAGACGAAAGTGGCGTGGTACGCGCTGGCCGTGGGCTGGGTGGGCTCGCCGGGGAGGGCTGGGCTTGGGGGCCCGCCAGCGACCGCCCTCCGGGGGCTTGGCTGCATCTCCACGACGCTGCCCCCCGGGACAAGGTCCACGCCGGCGGTCCTGTCCACCACGAGGCCTCGGCTGCCACGGGCCCCGCCTCCTGTCAGAGAAGAGAGACGCTGTCACTTGCCTGGGCTGTCCTGGAACCCGCCAGGCCCGCCCACTCCCCGGAACACCCCTCAGCCCTCCCGGGCAGCACGGCGCCCGCCCCTCCCTACATGTGCAGACCCTGCCCACGTGGCCATCTCCTGGCAGGCTCTGCCAAGGCTGCTCCTCCCCTCTGCTGCTGTCCCCCCAGTGGGCCAGGGGAGCTGGGCCAGTGTGCGCTGTGAGGCAGGAGGGAAGACAGCGGGGGAGGGGCTGGGACAGCAGGGTGACCACGGGGGCAGTGGGCGGGGCCCCCAGACAGAGGGGGCGTGTCTCCACAGCCTCCCGGCCCCCACCCTGCCTACTGCCTAGTGGGGGCCTGGACCCAGGGGGGGGGGCCACACCTGGCCTCAAAGCCTTCAGGCCTGGCCCCAGTTGCTCCCAACTCCTGGCCACCGGTGTGCACCTGCCACCCAGCCCCCAGACATGGGTTTTGCTGGGGCCTGAGCAGTCCTCTGCTGGCGGAGCCCAGGCCAGCCCCCGAAGCCATCTCCCCATCTGATCCGGCACATTCCCCGCTTGGAGGAAGGAGCAGCCGGGCCCGCGCCTCCCACGGACCCTCCCACGGACCCTCCCCGGGCACCGGGCCCTGTACCATAGCCCCAGGCTTCAGGAAGCAGCCTCAGGGGGCAGGTGCTGGCCAGTGGCCTCCGAACCAGGGCCTCTGGTCACCGGCAATGCTGTGATGGGGTCGGCCCCCTGCTCCCCAGGCCAGGCCCGCCCTTCCTGCCTGCCCAGCCCAGACAGGCTCTCCTGAGTCACTGGCAGCCCCAGGCTGTGGGCCGGGCCCAGGTGGAGGCAGCGCCCGAGCGCCCCGGCCACCAGGTGGGGCCTGTGTCAGCCCAGCTCCCCGCCTGCCCAGAGGGGCATGCCCTCAGCCCCCTAGGCCTGCCGTGCAGGAGTCTGGCCTCAGCTCCAGGCCCGGGACCCACTCTGCTCTGCACCCCAGCCCCGCCCCCACCTCCCTGTGGCCTTAGAAGCTCACAGGGCACAGGGGACTCTGAGGAAGACCCCAGGGGGCTGCAGAGGGAGGCAGAGGCCAGGGACCCCGCCACTGCCCACAGCCTGGGCGTCCCCGGGGCCTTGGCCTTGTCTGCACTGCATCTGCACTTGGCTGGGGCTGGGGGTGCTGGGGGGAGGGCAGACCTCTCTGTGGGCCTCTGGTGGGTGCAGCCGGGGGCCAGGAGGGGAGACCCCCGGAGGGCTGGGCAGGCCTGGGGGTGTCTCAAGGTGGGTGCATTAGACACCAACCACAGGGCTGGGCCCCAGTGGGCACCCCGGCTGCCCCAGACACCTCACAGTCCTGGGTGGGTGGCCGCCCTAGGGCTGCTGTGTCCCCGAGAAAGCCAGGCCCGCCCACCCCCATCACGGGCGTCTGCCCTGTGACCTGGAGGCCGGGCCATCTGCCCCACAGGTGGACACAAGGGGGCTCCGTGGGAGCCCACAGTGGCTGGGCAGGGCTTGCAGGGCGGGTGCCACGGGGCGGAGCCAGGCCTCAGCAGCTGGTCAGCAGGGCTGGGGTCCAGTCTGGGGCCGGGGGCTCCGGGGCTCCAGCCGCACCAGGGCAGTGGCCTGGCTGCCTTCCCCGCAGGGCGCAGGCATGGTTGGCCCTGGGTCACGGCCACCCTGGCGGGTTAGGGTGCGTGGACATGACTGTCGTGGCCACACACCAGGGGGACCCTGGCAGCTGAGACCCTGGCGAATGAAGGCTCCAGGTCAGGGGCCTCCGTCCTGCGGCTGCTCAGTGCGCGGGGCTGGGCCGGGGAAGGAGAGGACTGCGCTGGCTCTGCCGGGGCCGTCTGGGACTCGGACCGCTCCACACTCATCCCGGCCCGCGGCTTCCTAGCTGGGAGGAAGGTGCACCCGACCCCCCCCCCAGGAGTGAGCAACACCGGAGGGAGGGGCTGCGGCCTGGAGGCTCCCCGACGCCCCTGCAGGAAGAGGGGTGGCTTGGAGGTGGGGCGACGCCCACTGCTGCGGGGCGGGGCTCCTGGGACAGGCCTCCCGGCCGTGGGCTCCCGCAGCCCTGCAGTGAAAGCGAACTCGAGTGCGAAAGAAGAGTTTCAGCCGAGTGCGGTGACAGCTCTCGCGTTTATTGCCCTGGACACATGCGTGGGCCGCGGCTCCGGGGCCCAGGGAGGTACACACGCAGACATGCAGACGGGCCGCCCCGCCCCGCGAGTGCGGCGGGGGCGTCCTTGGCGCCCACAGACGACGGGCAGATCTGAGTGCAGCGCACCACGGCCCGGCCCGGCCCGGCCCGGCCCGGCAACACCAGAGAGGGGCTGGCAGCGGGGCTCCGGGGACGTCGTCCCTGCTGGCTGCGCCCGGGGGCCTCGCTCGGTTCTACGCCCGGCCCAGGCCGTGCCCCGGCTCACAGGGAAAGCTCACGCTCCCACCAGAGACGCCCGTGGGCCACTCTGGACGCTCACGGGCAGGCAGGCGGTGCAAAGCACAGGAGCCACGGTGCCCGCGCGTCACGGGTGCAGGCTTGGACGCTGGCTGCTCCCCAGCCCCTCCTTCCAGAAGAGGGGAAGGCGGCGCCAACAGCCCAGGAGCGCCCCCCCGCGGCGGCCGCGCCTGTGCTGGGGCAGGATCAGAACGTGGAGGTACCTGGTTGCGGAGGTCCGGGGGTGTCCTGGGGGCTGGGGGGTGGCGGCAGCAGCGTGCTGTTGGGGCTGCCGATGTCCCCCTCCCCCACCAGGGTCAGCTCAGCCAGGTGGTCTTCCACAGTCTGGATGGCCGTGGCCTCCACTTCCCGCGACT